ATCAGTTGTCAATATTCTTGCTGGTGCTCAGTGAGGAATGAGGGAATGAACCTGCGAGTCCTCTTAAAGAACACCACCAGTTGGGATGGTTTATCTCGGGGTCATTCCATTTCTCATTCCCGGCATCTTTCACACCAGCAAGATGATGTTGATTGTTTCCGGGGGGTATCAAAGAACTGGGGTGACAAGAAACTGGGGTGAGCGCCAGCAAGTATTCCAAAGGGGGTTGGGAGAGCGGCTCAACGACTGCGCATCTCGCGAGGTCTCACTGAGTTGGACTCACGGCCGCGACCGGGTGCAGCTTCAGTTGGACGGGAGGCGGGGGGGATTTTGCGGCGCCACGTCGGGGTGGTCAGAAGGGGCCTGTTTTTTTTCCCCTTTTCTTTCCGTTGTTCTCACTCGGACCCCCAGCATGGCTCAGCAACCATGGTTTGCTTGTTCTCACGATTGGATGCGTCCACAATCAAATTTTCTGTGTTGAATTAAAATACCAACAGAAAAGGGGTTCCCCGATTTTGAGACGCGGGCATTTGCATCTCCTTTTCACAGGCGGCGCCAGGCGGATGGAGCTTGTGGCCGTCAACCTAAAAGCGAACGGCGCATGCACCTTGCTTTGGCACGGGTTCTGTGGGAACATGGCAACATGTCTGAGGGGCGGCGCATGGATGAGGGTGTGACACGCAAAAGGAAGCGTGCGTGCGTTGCTCCTTTGGTCCTGGGGTCATGCGCATGGGGGTTTGTCAAGAATATGGCCCCTCGTCGGACCCTGGTGCCCCACAGTTGTCTTGAATTGCAGCAGTTTGTCTTGAATTGTGACAGTTCTCAAAGGGCTCTTTGCGAGGCCTTTGCCAGCATCCCGCAATGACCATGCAAAAGGTGTTTCTGAACGATGCCTTACACAGATACGCCTGACTTCTGAGTGACACTGAGGGGGGCAGCATGTCAACAAGTACGAGTTCGTGACTCTGCTGTTGCTGTTTCCAACAGATAACGCTTTCGGGCAGCTCTTCTCAGCGCATTTTGCGACTTGCCCAAGTAGAGTGTTTCGCACAAACATCTCGGGCAATTTAGCGTTTGCGAAGAACCATACACACACACATGCATTTAGTTACCTCATACAGCTAGTTGGTGGTTTATTCTAGTATTAGGGTTTGCTCCATCCAAACTGGTGCCGATCATCGCGGATTTGTCCATCACTCGGTTTCTCATTGGAAGGTGAAGCCACGGAACCCTTCCGTGGCTTTCTGTGAGGTTGGGTGACCCTTCCGGTGGAAGACAAAAAACAAAAAGAACAACAAAAAAAGGGGAGCCAAAAAAAACCGTCTCTCCGAGCCTGCCAGCTTGGACCTCTTGGTGAACGGGCACTGCCAGGCGCGGCTGACATATCGGCCCTGGTCCTGCGGATTTGCCGATAGGGGGCCCCGAATTTGTCCATGGGAGTTGGCGCCGGAAGGGAAGCCAGTTTCGGATCAAGCGGCGGAGCTCTTCTCTGTTGCAGGCAGGGGTGTAAGCGTGTTGCTTTTGGCGACTGGATTTGTTCTTTCCGTTGCTCCTTTTGTAAGTACTCCGCACTAACATTTGGGTTTCTATTTCATTAACCATGCAATGATTGGAACCTGTCTCGTTTCAGTATGCCCAAGGTTAATAAACTCATGGTTGCGTAGTAGGGTGTGGTTGGATTCAGGCTGCTTTTGGAGGGAACGCCCCTACTGGGACGGCGGGTTTTCTGTTTCCGGGGTCAAGCCATATTCGTGGGTTGCTGCAAAAGGCCCCCCCTCTCCTAGCAAAGAGGTTAAAAACCAAACTGACATTCTTTATTATACTTGGTAATTCACATATAACAAGCAAGATACCCTCAAAACGCTCAGACAAGACGACGGAGTTATTGGAGAGCGATCTACGCCCGGAATTCCATCCGATGCCCAGATCCGGAACCTGGTGCTTGTGCTGGGCACCGCTTCGGAGCTCTACCTGCCCAGCCGGCGAGGTTGCGGCCGCCAGAAATCTGGCCGTGGGTCATAACCTATGCGTTGGTACAGGGTTTTGACCCACAGCCATCTGGTTGCGGCCAACTCAAATGGGGGTTGCTCGTCAAATTGATTGAGGCGAAGGGTTACCCTGGTTGGGGGTTGGTTTTTTTAGGGACGCCCAAAGCACAACTGCCACTGTTGGGGGCCCGACCTGCAAAACGAGAGACACGCCCATTTGAGACACCCATGCGAAACCAATCATTCTTGATGCACATAAAATGGGCGTGGTGGTTTGCTTGGGTTGGCCCCTTATGGCTCGATGGCATTGGTGGGAGCATTTGCCCTGATTCTTCTTCTTCTTCCTCTTCTTGAAGTCGTGTTTGCTAGCCTGCTAGTGTCTGACTCCTTGTCGAGTTCTGTTGCTGCAGTTGCCACAATACAACTCCACCAGGCCTTTCCATACTTGATGTTCTTGCAACAGGTGGCTTTCTTTTTCGCTTGGCAGTAGCTAATCTATTAATATCTCTATA